GAGATATCCACATTAGGGATATTCGCAAGGGTCAGCTCAACCGAAGTGCAATGGAAGAGCCTCGCCCTGGAGGAACCGCCTTCATGATCACGGTAACCTCTGCGCCAGGTAAGTATGATTTCCTTTCGTCGACCATAATACTTATAGACAACGTTTCTCCATTTCGCTGTGAGTATAAGCCTGATCATGCGCGATATAGCGGCAAGCCAGAGAACTAAATTGCTGAACAAGCTGTGGTCACTAGCAGTTCGATAGAGTGGGAATGTGCGGAAAGTGTTACAACGTGACTACACGATTTCAAAGAGATAGATAAAATAGAAATAATTCATGATACAAAGAGGAAAAGAGGTATATAAATAGAAGATATGTGTTTACTTATAGATCGAAATCGCGCGTGATTTTATACATTAATTCGAAAGCTTTAGACAAATTATCGTTTAGTTTTAACATAATGAAACAAAGTTTATTATCATACCTTGTACTTTATAGAAAATATAAATTTGTTACATCTTTATAAAATATATTTATATATATTGTATATTAGATAAATGTTTTTAATATTCTTCTTTTTTCTATTTTTTCTCCACTGTTTTTTCTTTCTGCACTGGTCCTACAAGGACCATCCCACAATTTGTAGTAATCTACAAAGGAAATAATTAGCTAATTACTATGCATAAAATTCTACAGACTTCTAATACCTGCTAAATTGCAAAAGCCAATAATAACAAAAGAAAGATATTATTAAATGTAAAATTTATATCCTTCGTTTTCGGAACCTTTCATGACAATAGATAAATTATTTTAATTATCTAGAAAAAAGAAAAAAACTAGAAAAAAGAAACAAAAGTATTTTTAAATAACATTAGAATCGTTCTTTTTAACGAGAGATATTTTCAATCATTAATTAATATTTTTGATTGCGACAAAATATAATTACTTACTTGTTCTATAGATACCATTAATAAATCTCGTTATATTCTTGTGTTTTTGCGTAGTTATATGAAAACGAGTACATTTATTATGACAAAGCATGTGACACATGCTCGAGAAGGTTTTGTCTTCGAAATCGCGATCTCTAGCACAGATTGTTCCATTACCACCATTGCCACCACCATTGCTTTCTTTTTCACTCGTTTTCCCATCCGGAACGGTCGTAGTAGTCATTTCCTTTTCTCTAAAATCGATCGTATTCTTCTTCTTCTCATCGTCGCAATGATTGCAGTCGCACGTAAAAATATTTTCCTTTATCGGCGAAGAAGAAGACACGCATAGGACGATGATCGCCAATACGACGAACGCTGTTTTTATAAACGAAATCTCTCATTTTAATATTTCAGACATCTTATTTGAAAAGAAAACAAAAGAAAAAGTGACAAAATAACAAATTTTGTTCTTTCTCTATATATA